CACACCTCAAGCCACCTTTAAACCCCAATTTTGAGGCCGTCTTGTGGCTGAATTTGAAATCATGGTCCTCGGTAGGGCTCATTTCGAGGCACGCCACGCCCACTGTGGGCGGGGCTCCGCCAAGCTGATGTGTGTTTTATACTTCTCGAGACCTGGCCCACCCATCCCACACTTGACCCGGTCTCTCTAGGCAGATCTACAGGAGCTAAGGAATTTCGTGACAGACATACAGACAGACAGACAGACAGACAGACGGACAGACAGACAGACAGACAGACAGACTAAGCGCTTTATAGTAAGTAGGATGACTATTTGATATTTATTCAATATTTGATAACGGTAGGTAGTGTACTGGCAAGTGGCGCACTTCATGCACACGTGGTCACGGATCTGAATCCCGGATCATTAATTGCCTAGGCAAGCTTTTCTTCCCTTCGCGATCAGTTAATTGGTACCAGACTCGCGTGGGAGGATAAAAGCACTGACTTATACATCGGCTGGCCACCGCAAGTCACTGTATAGGTAACACACGCATTTACTTCGCCATTACGATCCTGAATGGAGAAAGCTGAATGCTTGGACGCATCCCTCAGACGGGATTGATTAACGCTAAAAGACTTTGTCCTTTTAACTGAATAGTGATTCCCCTGTTGTTTTTGCGAATCTTTCTGCACCGACTCGTCTAGATTTCGTCTACTCCCTTTTCTCCACTCGCAATTGAATTCAGTTTTTTTACATATAGGAACTAATGCACCATTTGTATGCAAAACACAAAAAGATACAATAGAAGGGGCAATAGGCGCAATGCTATATTATTCAGAAAACCACTGTTTGTGATATTGATCGAAACGACGGGCTCTCGAAAGGCAATCAGTCACTCCTGAAAAACTTTTTTTTCCAGTTGCTGTAACAATGTAATAACTGGATTTTGGAAATTCATTGTTGAAACGGTTACGGAATTTCCTTCCTTTCAACTTCTTAATCATTCGTGTAGTATGAGTTTACACTCGCCTTTTTTTGTCACATTTCTCTGGGAGCTCTAAATGATTCCACGGAGACGAGTGCAAGTGCAAGAATCAAGTCATCTTATCGATGTTGTCGTCATTGATGTCCTAAGATAAAGTATGAAACATTCTCACGTGCGAGAAGTCGCCTGTCCCAATTCTTCTTCATAACCAACATCGTACAAAATTTCTCGTATAAAATCTTAACGGTCCTCCTTTTATCCGCTGTTTCATCCGAAACCGAAAAGGCACCGTCGAAAAGCAAATAAAAACGTGCAGGAAAACCGAGAGACATGTAGGAAAAGTACCAAAAACAACAGCAGCGGTGAGCTATCATAAAATGGTTGGGGCCGTTCGGATCTGGGAATAATGCTGACAAAAAATGTCGAACGGTTCCCCCAGTTCTACGGTGGGATAGCTCGAGGAAGGAGCACATTCATTAGTCAATGTAATTCGGGAGGTCAAACGAACACCAGGACGGTCGAGAGCGCGGCGGTCAAGCTTCTTCATGGGAGGGCTCAATGCTATACCTCGTGTCCCCTTGAGCTAGTTCCACCCGACTACTCTGGCTCGCGACAGGGAAATGGAAACGTGACTGGCCCTCGCTCGTGGGAATCGACGATCGACAGGAACAGGTGATACAGGTGATGTAGGTGAAGAAGTACATTTGCATTTGTATTGAAATCCTCCACTCTTCGGTGATTGGTAGAACAAGATTGGAGGTATTCGGGAAAGAAATTCTGTGATATTCACATGAACCAACGAAACTTGCAATGAAAGCAATTTCGGGGAAAATCGTAAGAATTTCTATGTGTCATAAAGAAGAAGTATTATCACCTGCCTGTTGTAACGACAAATTAACGATCGTCCGGTGGTGATATGATAATGGAAGGGAAAAGTAGCGGTAAGAGATAAGGCAGCTTTGCGGACACACTTCAGGGCTCATTCGTTTCACTGCTCCACTTGCTTATCGAAAATGTACCCTTGAACTGTACTCTCAGAGCAAACGTCTCTAATAACTCCTCCTGTTAGTTGTTGCCGTTCAATTCTTCTCTCTAGCCACCCTTGCACTTTGATTTCGATTCGTAACCTTGTGTTATGTTGTTTTTGCCAGAAAACTAGTATTCAATAACGACACATATCCACTCAACCTAGCATATCCCATCAAAACAACACTTTATGGCTGGTTTTACTTTTTTCCCGATCACGAATTGGTGATGTTTCGCACAGCGAGCACCATAAATCGTACCCATCGTTCACAGCTCAATGAATCAGATTCATTTTTATATTTTTTCAACTAATTCGAAAATTTCCCATTTCATTCTCCATAAATATGCTTCTTCGTGTGCCATTCTAGAATCTTTAGGTAACTGTAGGAACGCTGTGGATCACATTTCTAGTTCCAGCCACTTTGTTCCCGACTTATGTGACCCATGTACCTATTCAATTTATATTTGTCATTTGCACTATGCTATAATAGGGAACCGGTTCTTGGAAATGACATGATCACTGAGCAGACTGAGAGCATTTCCATTCGTTTGCCGATGACTTCTGTCCATTTGCTCCGCTTCCACTACTACCGTTTGTCTCGCAGCTCATACCAGTTATGATGACCCAAGTCCGTACATGGCACGCTCTCAATGGTCTATACTTGAAGACACAGCTTAAGATAAAAATGGCTGAAGAGATATACCGATAGGATTGATCTTTGGCCTCATCGTACACATA